CTCCAGCCAGCATAGCTGGCTGGAGAATTCTGGGAGTTGAAGTCCACAAGTCTTAAAGTTGCCAAGGTTGGAGACCTCTGTATCTAGCTAGTCCAACTCCCTGCTCAGGCAGGAGACCCTATACCATTTCAGACAAATGGTTGCCAATCTCTTCTTAAAAGCCTCCAGGGATGGAGCACCCACAACTTCTGGAGGCAAGTTGTTCCACTTCCCAACACATACCATCCCATGGCTCAATTACTGATATGTAACTCATCCTCTAATTGCTATTTGAAAAATGATTACTATTGTATCCAAGCCACATTAATTGTTGCATAATCTGGAGGGGACCATCTAGCAATTCACAAAGCTATAGGTATCATTTTATTGGGGATGGGAATAGGAAACATGTGAACAAACACAAATAAAGAAGTAACAATGCTAAATAACTGAATTTTTCTAACCTGTGGCAAATTATGCTGATCTAAAATCTGCAGTAAATACCAGCGTTCTCTTTTGCTGTTTCTTCTGACACGGAATGTGGCTGTTAAGAAGTATTCCTCTGGAAACCCATTTGGAAACAATTGCCTAAAAGTTGGGGTGGAGATGGAAGAAATTGTCTTATTAGACCAACTCTGATAATTTTTATAAAATATGGGAGAAAGCAGATGTTGAAGTATCAGAAACTAATTTGGGATTCATAGGTACTTCAGCAACTCTACTGTATTCAAAAGATTGTTCCATCTCTTGAGGTTACTATCATCATAATTGTTCAGGTCTAATGCTACTCACAAAACCACACCCTGTTAGAAATCTACTTTTCATCATCTTTATTACATTTCATACATATGTGCTATTACAATTATAATTAAAAATGAACTCATTCCCATCTTTTTGCCAGAAAACAAAAACAAAAAAAATCCATTCTTCCATCATGAAAGTCAACTTTTTCTTAATCAGGAAAACCACTGTCACAGGAAAAAGTAATCCTTCTAAAGCTAACAATGAAAATTTACTGCACACTATGTACTAGACACATCCCCCATTTGCACTGTTGTACTGTTACTATAGAATCCTATAGAAGGTATGTTAAAAAATCTCACTATATTTCAGGCTTCATTATTTAAGTTTTAAATCAGACAACATGTTTTAAGCTACATTTTGCTCAACCATGACTTGTTGGCTAACCCAAAACTGGACAGTTTCACAGAACTCACTAAATCTCAAACAAACCAATCATATTTTGGTCTTAGTGTTCAATGGTTAACACTCAAACAAAACATTTCATTTTGATAATTGTAGCACACACATTTATTTTTTTACAAATTATTTATAAAACATTCTATTGTATTTCTCATAAATGAAAGGTGAGAATGGCAATGACACAAATTCAGATCAAATTTTTATATGTTGATACTAATCAGACATATCTTTGGGTAGAAGGCATGAACTTCCTTTCATATAATCAGGAATTGTAGATGCCCAGAGAGATTAAAAGTATATTCCTACATTTTAGGCACTGATCTATAAACACTGATCTTATACCTATAAACTGATCTGAAGATGGAGAAATGGAGAATCATGTGTAGGGCCAAATTGCTAGTGTTTGAGTATATGTATGTATGTATGTATGTATGTATGTATGTATGTATGTGTATGTATGTATGCATGCATGTATATGTATATGTATATGTATATGTATATGTATATGTATATGTATATGTATATGTATATGTATATTGGGAAAATACCACCAGATAAAAGAGGGGGGGGATTCTTCCATGTCTGTAGTTTTATGAAAGTTTTGCCTAAGTGGACACTCATTTTATGACTCTTCCATTATGTTTGCATTAAGATGGCTAGTCCAGAAGTGCTGAAATTATGCCTGATATCTGTGTTTAGAGGATTGCTCATGAAATGATTACTGAAAGCCAAAAACAGGAAGCTCACATACTCAGTCATGTTTGCTGGCAGCAGTTCCTTTCTGTTGCTTCTTCACCACACCCTACACTGAGGGGTTCTTGTCTTTCATGGGATAAATAATTAGGCAAGCTGCCCATTCATGCAGCACATTTTCCAGAAGATATTCCTGATCAGCCTGGTGCCTGGGCACAAGACTTACATACGACTCTCAAGTGCAATCTGATAGGCAGTTTTTCACTGGCTTTCTGCCTAAACATGAATTTCACCCCAAGTGATCTCTGAATACAAACCAAAAAAACCTCTTATAGACTCTAATTTGCTAGTCAGACCAGTAGGTTACATATACAAGTTAATCATAATTTCTGAGAAAGGCCACACTTTTTTATTTTTTAAATTTTTTTTTTAGACAAACGTACACAAACAAAACATAAAAACATAAAGCCATCTTCCAATTACGTAGATACAGTGTATCGGTTGGTTACAAATTTTTTGTGCTTCCTCTCCATAGTCCTCACTTACAATTATTTGTATATATTCTCATATTATCAATCAAATATTTCTGAATACATTATTATCATTGTTAATCATTCATTTGACTATACTATTGTTCCTTCATGTTATGCGAGATGTTCCATATTTTTAAATTTGTTTATATTATATCTAAGTCAGTCAGTTTATCATAAAAACTTTGTTTTGAAATCTTTATCATATCGAGAGCATATTTGCACATATGAAAACCAATTCATCTTTATACCTTGTTCTTCTAGTTCTTGCATAGATTTAAGTTCACCCTTTTTATTCAATATTTCGCCATATCTAACTGTTTGTTCCTTTTTATATATTATTGGATAAGAAAAAGCTTCAATAGTTGATAAACAGACTGGAATTTTTAAATAGCATTGCTATTTAATCTTCTCCCAGTTTAATAACAAAGCCTCACGTATATAATGTCTTCTAAAATACCCCTGTGTTTTAGTTCCCTTGTACCATAGGAAGGCATGCCAACCCAACAACAAATCATGTCCTTCTAATGTCAATAATCTAGTATTCCTTAGTGTTATCCATTCCTTAACCCACATCAGGTTTGTTGCTTGATAATATAGCTCCCAGTTCGGCAGACCAAATCCTCCTCTTATTCTGGCATCTTGCAACAATTTTAATTTTATTCTCACTTTCTTTCCCTGCCATATATACTTCAATACTATTTTATTTAAATCTTCAAAGTATTCTTTCCCTAGCCTGATTGGAATTGTCTGAAACAGAAATAAAATTCTAGGTAATATATTCATCTTAATTGTTGACATTCTCCCTATTAGTGATAATTGTAAATTTTTCCATTTTGCCAGATCTGTCGCAATCTGTTGTTTGAGTTTAATATAGTTATTCTCTTTAGGTGTACTACATCTTGCTGTCAAATGTATCCCTAAGTACTTAACCTTATTTGTGACCTACATTTTCAAAACATCTGCCAATTCTTCCTTTTGTCTTACTAACATATTCTTTGTCAAGATCTTCATTTTATCTTTATTTTCAGACCAGCTACTTTTCCATATGTCTCTATCTTTTCTATCAATTTAAATGCTGTTTCTAATGGATCCTCTAGAATAAGAACCAGGTCATCTGTGAATGCTTGCAGTTTAAATTCTTCCTTTTTAATTTTCATCCCTTTTATATCTTTTTCTTCTCTAATATTTCTATTTAACACTTCCAAAGTTAACACAAACAACAGAGGTGACAGTGGGCAGCCTTGTCTTGTCCCTTTCCTTATTTCAATAGAATCT